CTACACCGTATCATTTGGCCCAGTAAAAGTTATTAACATCTGTCTCTCAAATTTGCCTTCCCGAGACTTCTCCACTGGTTTTATTAAACTTCTTAGTGTGCAGTGCGAAAGCAGTCTAACAGATACGGCCTGAATGTAGAGAAGAAAGTAGAAAAAGGGTGGCTGTTTTTTTCATGGGGCTGAACAAGTCTTGTCCATGACTGAGATCCAGACCAATGGGTGACTAGGCAGGTTTATTTTCTGTTAACTTGTCTTTAAGCCATGTTGCAAATGTGCACATCATTTCACTTAGGTTTCTCAGTCTCAAGCCAGAGAAGCCAACTTGGCAGGCGATGTCACTTTGCAACTGAAAAATGAAGCAGGACCACCACAAGAGTACTTTTCCTCCTATAGTGGTCCTGCCCCTGAAGAAGGTGGAAGGAGCGCGTTGCACATTGCATGCGAAAGAGAGGATAAGAGGGAGGTAAGATCACAGCGTCTGAGGCTCTGCTCACAGGGAGTAGTTCTAAGCTAATCTCAAATGCCATAACTTGGCAGTGAAGGGATTTCATCCCTCTGTAAGGAGCTGATTGAATACCAGGAATAAACTCCTTTTCTACTGAATTATTAGCATTGTACTGATTAAAAATCTAGCAGCACTTGAGGAAAAAACATTTCTGAAATCTTTGGAGTTCTGTTTGACTAGAGAAACTCCTTTAGTTCAGTTTCCGTTGGTTAATTGGCCATTAACTTAATCATCCACAAGGCCAATCTGAAGTTGGACAGTCTTAGGTTTGGCATGCACTAACCTCTGTGCATTTGATTTGGTACTGTAGTAACATTCTTCTAGCAGGTTTGGGATGCATACAGTTGGAGAAAGGTATTTGAGAGAGGAGAGCTACTTCTTCAGAAGCAGACCCACACATTCCTTCTGGTGGCAGGATGAATGAGATTTGATAACCTGGTTGTGAAGAGGTTTCACCACTGTGCTTTCTCAGTCGTGAGAAAGTGGATGTATATTTTTATTATAACATCATAGTTTAGGTGGAAGGTTTGAATGTGTTTTATGGTGCTAATTTTATTAATTATACTATTATTATTAAATTTAATATTAAAAATTTAACTTTATTATGATCTAATTCTACCTTTTTCCACCGCACTTGCCTACAAAGCATGCCAGAGATGTTATCCGCCTCCTTTTAACGCATCAGGCAAATCCAAACACGTTGTGGAGTGGCCATTCACCACTTTCCTTAGCAATTGCCAGTGGGAATGACTTGGTGAGCATCTTTAAGTTCCTTCATTTTTTTGTGTGTACTTCTCCATTCATGTCTGCCTTCTCTGATGACAGCCAAACGACATAATGAGTGGTGCTTGCAGTCATACATTTTCAGTGAAAATAATAAAGTTGTTACTTTTTTTTTCAAACCTATGGGTGTTTCATGAGCCAAACTAGAGGAGTCCTAAAGGACTGTAGTATGAGGTAGCCAGAAGTATTTGGGTAGGACCCAGAAGGTACTAGCATTTGGAGAACTGTGTTCATTTTATGAAGCACAAGGACAGTCAGTTCTCTTACAGGCTGCCTCCCTGCCCGGAGCAACCCAGCCAAACACCAAAACACTTGCTTCTGGCCGTAAGACAAAAGTGCAGCCGTTGATGGTAAGAAGTATGCTGTTCTATGTAAAGATTAATGATCGGTCTTAGAAAGCATTTGGTTGCAATGAGGCTCAGCGCTCCACAGATGAGGCTTATAGTTCACACAGTAGAATTCAGCATCTGAAGTTAGCACCCGTCTTCCCGAGCAGGGAATGGACTCCCTTCTGCCCACACTGGGCCCGTGAAAGCAGGTCCACAGTGGCCGGCATGGTGCAAGAGAAGACATGCAGCCAAGGCAGGTGATGAAGCAGATGTGTCTGCAGGGCTCTGCCTCTCTCTGAATAGAGCTCGCTGTGTCCAGGCTCCTGGCTCATCATCTTTGTGGAAAGCAAGGCAGGAGAGCGATGGGGTGAGAGTGGCCCCCTGGCTCCCCAGGGAGCTCAGCTGCCCTCTCATGTCTTTGATACTGTTGTTTGGTAAAGTATTTGACGATGACATTATGATTCACGCTAAAAGAAGTGAAGACTGCTGGCCGGTGAGCTAACTTTTTGTGTGCTACCGAAGCTGTGACAAGTACTGGGAGATACTCCAAGTGTGCTGTGGTGAATACTGTAAAGCTCTAGGGTCTTGACTGACCAGGCTAGGGTCTCACTTTCCTGCCGTAGAACTGTCAGTAACGTCTTCTCCAGTCACTAATTTGTCCCGTTTTCATATGCCCATTTGCAGGCAGTTGTTGAACTCCTCAAACATGGGGCTGACCCGAATCTGCCGTTAAGTGGAGCAGTACAAAGTGCCCTCTGTGCAGCTGTCAGTACGGCGTATGAGCAGCAGAGAACGACGGCACAGAGGATTGCTTTGGTGAGATAACATCTGGGTGTTTGTTGTTTTTTTTAAACTTCGGTTTAAACCAGTGATTTTTGTCAGGTGCGTTGAGTCCCCTTTCTCTTTAATGGGTAAGCTGATTTTTTTTTTTCCGGAACAATTATTTTGTGTCTGTTCCTAATGCTCTTTGTTTCTGTCCTGAGGAACAGGGGTTTTGTATAGAAATTCATTTTCATGTTTGAGTGAAGAGGATGATAACCTCCTTGTGTAGAAGAGGAAACGCTACATTAACGTCAAATGGGCTGGTTGTAGTGCCACAGCCCTGTCAAATCTGACTGTTACCTTGTTCATAAACACAGCCAGCATCCACGCAGAGAGAGCTGCGTTGTGTTCGGTTGTTACTGTAAAGTGGTCCGTACCGCTTGTGGTGAGCGTGCTTTCTCATCTGCGATGAGGTCAGCGGCAGCGTTTGGCCTTGTGAAAATTGGAGTTTTTCTCCTCATCCCAGGGAGCCCGGGACTGATCTCATTCAGAGTGGAGGCGAGGAATGCTGCAGTTGAGGGGTCTGGGAGCGGACGCAGTTCCCCCAGCTGGGTTCTCTTCTGCCCCCTCCCTCACTAGTTGTCCCTGCTTCCTTTGTTGCTGCAGGATTGTGGGATACCCAGAAACGTAGCAACTGCCTGCAAGAAGGTTTTACTTACAAAACACATTTAGATTTGACAGTTCATTGTCAGCTGTAAAGGGGCAGAAGAAGCGCATGCTTCAGTGCACAAAATAGTCTCACAAATAGAGGTTAAGCTCTCATGTTCAGTCCTGGCTCTTTAGCTGTGGTGTGAACACAATTTTTTTGGGAGAGTTTTCTCTTTGCTTGGATGTGTAATGATTTGCTTTTTTCAGGTTGATAAGCTGCTTGAAGCTGGCGCAGATATCCTTGCACCAGTTACTCTCAGGGAAGGACAGAGAAAAGCTGTGGGCACCGCTGTTGACTATGCCTATTACAAATATTACCAGGTATGACTTCAGTTCCCGCATCTGAATGCATTTGCATCCATTCAAATACATGGCCTGTTGTGTCCTTGTGAATTGTCTGGGGCCTCTTCAGGAACTTTCATGGAAATTTCCTTTTTCCTTTCATTTGTTGTGAGACTCAGTTCAGCACCAAATGAACCATTAATGGAGGGTAGGAAGGCCCTGCAGAGGCACCTGGCCAGGCTGGATCGTTGGGCCGGGGTCAACTGTATGAGGTTCAACAAGGCTCAGTGCCGAGTCCTGCGCTTTGGTCACAACAACCCCAGGCAACGCTGCAGGCGTGGGGAGGAGCGGCTGGGAGCTGCCTGGCGGAAGAGGACCTGGGGGTGTTGGTTGACAGCCACTGAACATGAGCCAGCAGTGTGCCCAGGTGGCCAAGAGGGCCAATGGCATCCTGGCTTGTATCAGGC